TTAAATTGCAAAGAACAAAGCTATCGACTAAGTGTAATTCCAGGAGGTTTTTAAGCTTCAAGATGGGCCTCCAGCCCCTTCTCTTCAGCAGTAGAATCTATGTTCAAAACATTATGGAGATAATACTTATATGCTTATCCACAGCGACATTATGATGCTTTACCTGCCACATGTCCAAGAGTCCAGACCAGAAATGCACTTAAATACATGAAAAAGTCCATTCTCAGAGAGAGATGTGTCTGATTCTCAAAAGGCACAGAGTCTGAAATACTCTGAAAACCAAATATAATATCTTCTTTTCTAATTAGAGAGCGTTCTGTTTCTTGAAGCGTTATTCCCAAATATGGAGCGAGTCAGCACACGAAAGGAGTGGGGCGATTAGATGACACGCTGCGGGAAATCGAGATACAAAATTTCAACAACAAGAGAAGAACAAATATGTTGAAAAATATATCTACAGAAACCAAGGGAATAAATGATGAGCCGATCTGAGAAAGTTGGTCTTAGTCGACCTAGTGATATCCGAATAGGGTGGGTATCCTCTTTATGATCGCGTATCTCCGAGTCACATCTTCCTGTATCGAGTTTGTTTTCAGTTTCAATTTCGAGGCCTTTGACGTAAGACTTAAGTGTCCCTGTCTGAGAAAGTGTTCCAGAGGTCAGAAGTGGTGGTGAACCGATTCGGCTGAAACTTGGCAAAAAAGTTGAGTATGATAAGACATTTCAAAAGCCACTTTGGCTCTCTTCTCTGAATGTTTGTTCTGGAGAAGGTGAGCTAGCCTAGTTTTTAAAGTCACGGTCTACACAACCTATATTTCGGTGGTTGCGGTGGAAATTTTTCCCATCATTGCGAACACCGGAACATGGTTGACAGTTTCAAGTTGAAAGGTTGCATTTCCTTCAGCCTGCTAACTGAGCTGAAAATATTCTCCTGTAAAAGAACACTAAAATGGGTTGAAACCCAGCTCTGTAAGCGGGATGAAATTTTTCATATACACCGAGAAAAAAAGTCGCCCATTACCTAAGCCGAAACGCAAGCAGAGTTCTTATCAAAGGAACTGTTTAGATCCTCATCGTTATTGTCTGACGGGAAATGGAGCATGTAAATGTTTCGTATGACTCACATATGGTCGATAGCCAGCCGCTAGTTGAAAAATAAGCTCAGGCTCCTTCTCCGTGGGCTGAAATCGAGCTATGGACGGAAATCGAGCTTAGGCGTTTGTTCAAAACAAAAGTAACGTACACGTGCGTGACTCATGTGCTCGATTTTCATTCAAGTCTGGTCGGTCGCTGTCTATTCAGGCTTCATATTCACAAGTCTTCTAGAGTTATGAAAAAAAACTGCAATGACGCATCCGAGCCTTTGCTATTTAGCTTGAGTGGGGCAGCAGCCTTAATGGGTCTTAGTGTGGAGTTCATATATAACAAAGTCTTGTTTCTCAGTCAATTAATCAGTTATTTATCATTTTCTTCCTCTACTATCAACTCTCTTGATAAAATACTATATACATATTTTATTCATTTATACTTATATTTATACAGGGGCATCCAATCTAGCAGGGTTAGTTTAAATGGAGCCCTGATGCATCAAAAAACAGAGACATAAAAGCAAAACTCTTCTAAAACTTCTATTGGCTCAGACGCCACGATAGGTTATCCATGGCAGGAAAGATATCTATTCTCTCTCGTTTGCACGACGCAAGTGGATGATTGCCAACTTGTGTCCAATGCGTTTGTGGAAAAAAATAATTAACTAAAAATTCATTACAAATTCCATATATCATTCGGTTTTAGTTGCAAGATGCAGACTGCAAGTTATCTTTACTACCATTCGCCTGGTAAGAGGAAAATTTTTCTCATACAAAGTCTTTCTTAAACCTCTAACATTTATGCTTAAAATTCAAATGGGACTTATCTTTACCAATACTAAATTTTATCTTAAGGTAGAAAATTATATCTAGACTTTTCCTCGTCACACTCTGGCGGAAACTTAATCTAAATGCATTTATATATCATTCTAAACTGGAAATAAACATACATTTATTTCATTTCTTATTTCATTTAGACACCAGCCTTTTCCAGATTCGCATAGGTTGGCTGTGAAGAGTCTGGGTCCTCTTTTCCAGGCAACTCCGGAGGCAGTTCTTCAACATCAGCATATATCGTGGGCTCATAGCTGGGTGGTTTTGGTGGTTTGCCGGCGTGAGTTTCATTGTTAAAATCGGCGAGTTGAGCGTACATCAGGTCTGCCTCCTTTCGCTTGTATTAAAATCAAAATAATAATCAATTAATACAGGCAATCATGCGGCAATGAATGCACGTCTTTTGATCACTTACTTTTTGCCGAAAAAACACACCAACTGATAAGAATAAGCCATCATGATGGGCGCCACGAGGGGCTGTCCCACTTAGCCAAATTCAGTTGAAGTAAAGAACAAATTCAGTTGAAGTAAAGAACAAATTCAGTTGAAGTAAAGAACAAATTCAGTTGAAGTAAAGAACAAATTCAGTTGAGGTAAAGAACAAATTCAGTTGAAGTAAAGAACAAATTCAGTTGAAGTAAAGAACAAATTCAGTTGAAGTAAAGAACAAATTCCGTTGAGGTAAAGAACAAATTCAGTTGAAGTAAAGAACAAATTCAGTTGAAGTAAAGAACAAATTCAGTTGAAGTAAAGAACAAATTCAGTTGAATCAGCTGAATCAGCTGAAACAACGGTCATCCTTTCTACGTCTTTGCACCAATGACGTATGCTGCTACACTACAAGTCTATGACATCGAAATTTGTTTCCTTGATATGTTTTTTCCTTTTTTAAGTCGATGCCACTTACAACAGATGACCTACAATATTTTATTCCATATTCTCCCTCTTGCTAGGTTGAGTCATGGGCACGATTCCATTCACTTTGCCTGAATACACACATGAATCTGTTCATTCATCTGCTGTGCAATGGGGTTAACCGTCAACCCTCAAATGGCCAAATTTAACCGTCAACCGTCGAAAACGCAATATTTTTTACCGTTAACTGTCAAATAAGCAAGCCAATGTTAGCCGTCGAATGTCTCAGATATCCCTAACTAAGAACCAAACGATTGCCTTGATTGGGGTCAAGTTCTGTTGTTTAAAAATAAAAGTTTTCATATATCACAAAAATACAGTTATGTAAGTCCTTTAACTACTAGTCGCGAGTAAAACTGATACTGACTTCCGGTGTGGAAACACTTCCGGTGTCGTAAAACGTTAGTCATTTCTTAGTAATAGGTGTTATGAATTAACAGTTCTTTACAAACGCGTCATTACGAAAACTTATAGCCAAATTCGCCCATTTAGTTGGTTTTATAAACGACATTCCAAAAAAATTAACTGTCAATCGTCAAATGACCTAAAATTTAACCGTCAACCGTCAAAACGGCTCATTTTTAACCGTCAACCGTCAACGTGAACCACCCCCTCCCCATCGAGCCCCCTCTTACAAGAGTCTATCATTCTAGTGGAAACTGACTTACAACTACACTGAATGATCTCAATTATGTCTCAACGTCTAAAGCTCAATGCTCACCTTTTTGTTTGCCTTGTTGACAACGGCATATTCACAATTTTTTGGTGATGCTTCAGGAGTGCTGTTTGCTGACCCAAGAAGCTTTGCGGCTTCGAC